GCGCAGTGGATCGAGTCTGGTGACACGCGTTGGGATGTGCAGGGCAGTGCCAGTGTTACAGAGCAAACCCAACCCTGTCGGGCACAGTGAGCACTAGTTGTTTTCATTTCCTATCTTCTTGCTGTCGAGAGTTTCCACCGTCTCGTTTTTTATCTCCTCTGGGTAGTGTTTCAGCTCCTCGTTGCTTCATTTCACTTCCTTTCCTCGTGGCTGCAGGGAGAGCTGCTGCTGGGCCTGCAGCCACTCCTGCTGCGGGTTACTCGTAAGCCTTGGCTCATCGTGTTCCCAGCAGCTCTTGGTGTCCCGTGTGAGGCTTTACTCTTGCTGCATCGTGTGTGTTCTTCCAAGTACCTGTTCGTGCCATGGGGCACCTCTGCCAAAGTGGAGCAGCTAAGTGTCCTGAGGCTGCATGGCCTCTCTGCCAAGAGAGGTATTAGTTCTTGGATTCATCCTCAAATTGTAGGGTAAGATGAGGAAAGGCAAAGGCTTAGAGAGGCTGGGCTTGATTTGGGACAGGTTCTAAAAGCTTCTTGCACCCAGACTTGATGATAGCCCCCGTGGCCTGTGAGGGATGAAGCGCAGGAGATCTGGCTGCGGAGCCGGCACGCACGGCTGCTCTGTGCTGCGTGGGTTTGCAGCAGCCTGGAGCCCTATATCTGGGGAATATGAAGCGCTTCATTCATCAAAACGAGCTAGTAACTCTGCTCCCGAGTGTTTTAAATGTCAGTGTGAACTCTGTCGCTGCTGATCAAAGCAGAGAAGGGTGGCAGCGTTGGAAGCTGCTCGGCTTCATCTTGAGCACATCGTGCTTTGAAAATAGCGGGTTTGAGACAGGGAAGAACCGTTCGGCTTGGTTTATTTCTTCCACTCTTGTGAGTAGCAATAGAAATAAATTTTGATTTGGGAGTGGAGAAGACTCCTCTTGTTCTCTTTTGCTGCTAGGAACTCAAACCAGCTGATCTAATTATTCACGCTCTCCTGTTCCTCTCAGAGGGGAAATGTGACCATCAAATCACTCGGAGCGACGCTGTGATCATGAGATCGAGCTCACACTCATCCTTTTCCATACGCCCTGCTTTATGATGCTCAAACTACACGGTTCATTTTAAGGCTTTTTTTCCCCCCTTTTCCCTTCTTTGCCTTCCTTTTTTCTTCCATTTCACATGGGTGGTTAGTAAGAACAGGCAGTGGAAATGCTGGTTGGAAGGAAATCCTATCAATAGAGAAAATAAAAGGCAGAAACCATTTTCTGTCTGTGTTGCCTTCTGGATGTGAAGGTGGTGGCGCCTGCCTGCTCCTTGGCCAAAGAAGCTATGTTTGGGTTGGGGTAGTGTGTCCCCGGGTGGGTTTAAACACAGTGTGTGGTGGAGGGACCAGTTTTGTCGAGGCTCCTCAGCAGCATGAGCGTTTCCCGTGTCCCCAGGCCCGAGAGCAGCTGTCCCCGGTGAGTCGCTGCCTTGCTAGCAGAGGCAGCAGGTCTGGCTGTGCTGCTCACACATCTGCGAGGTTGCCTTGGCTACCAGCTTGTCTGCAGCCGAGAGGAAAGCTCAAAACAGAGGGCTAGCTTCAAGCTGTTTTCCTTCTCTCCGCAGAGGTTTCGTCATTCCTTCGTGGAGAAATTTGGGGGTTCTGGCTCCGTGGAGCACAGGCACACTGCGTTTCACCTGAATGCTGCCAGTGCCACAGTGTCTCTGGGGTCTGCTTGGTGTCTTGACTCACTCAAAACCAAACTCTTTATTTTTAGTGACCATATTGAGTATTGTCTGTTCCCAGGAATGCTGTGGGAGTGTAGGCATGGACCTTGGCTGTGATTAGCAGGGTCTCACCCCCCTACCCCGTGCTCCTCCTGGCCACAGAGTACTGTAAGTAGTCCCATGTGTCCCAGTGAAGGTGGAACACCTCCCTTTGGAGTTGGGGGAGTAACTCCAGTGAGGACTCAGGCCTGTGCATCCTTGGAAGTGCTCCTTCAGTTAGGGAAGTGTGGACAGAGCTCCTGCTTGGGGTCTGAATGTGATCAGGTTTATTTCTCCAGCCACTGCTCTGCAGAAGGTGAAGTCTGTTGTGAGCTCTTCTGTGCTGCGTGAGCACCTCCACTGCTAGCTGGACTGGGAGAATGGTGGTGGGCTTGGAATCAGGAAAAGAGAGCTGGGATGGGGTTGAAGTCCATGGTACTGTGTCCTTTGCAGGGAACGAGCCATCCTGGGGGACACCCTGCACTCAGCTTCTCGTCTTCGTTGCCACACCAGGCTGCGATGGGTTTCCCAGCCTGGACTCCAAGGAGAACTGTAAGCATTGGGGTTGGGAGCAGGGGGGAGTGACTGGAGTGGGAATGTGGCTGTCTCTGTGCCTGTCACTGGGAAATAGCACTGGGCAACAGTTACCTCCAGTTCTGGGGAGGCAGCAATCCTCCCTGTTTACTGTAACACTAGGGCAGGGAGGGAGGAACTTAGCTGAGGGTGCTGATCAAGCAGCGTGGGGAGGTTTAAAGCAACAAAAGAAACCCAAAACTTGGTTCTCTGGAATCCCAGGGTGCAGTCCTGTGTCAGACCCTCTCCCTGCTCTGGGGCTGTGGTGGCAGTGTGGGGCCTGCTGCCAGTGCCCCCCTCTGATGCTGTGTTCCAGATAAGCTGTCCGTCTCCAAAGGCTCCATGCTGCTCTCCGCGGATGCTGTCTGGGGAGCTCTCCGAGGTGAGGGGTGCTTTCTGCAGGGCATTCCCACTCTCCCTGCTTCAGGCCTATGGGGATGCCTTGCTGTGCCTCTTTCTTGCCATAGACTTCTTTGTTAATTGAGCTCTGCTCCTCTGGGGGAATCTGTGCTGAGAAAGGGGCTGTGTGTGTTATTCCTGCAGGCCTGGAAACATTCAGCCAGCTTGTTGGGAGAGATGAGAATGGCACGGTGAGTCCTGGCCTCGTCTCCTGGGAGCAGGCAGCTCTCCATAGTGCTCCTGCCTCCCTGAGGGCGGGCTGAAGGTTCCTGGGATGCTCGGGATGAGTGGGATACCATCAGTGTGGCACAGCCTTGTCAGGGACCAAGTGGATATTCATGGATCCAGCCAGATCGCTGTCTTCTGAGTGGGTAAAAAGTGCTGCAACTCTTTCTGACCAGTGTGCACTCTGGGTGGGCAGTGAGGGCAGCCCTGTCCATCCAGCTCTGGGGACAAAGGTGACCCTGATTGTTTCCTGCTAATGGCTGTTTGTCCAGCATCCTGCTCATGTCTTCCTCGTGTTCTCTGCATGCAGTACTACATCAACGAGACAGAAATCGTGGACTTTCCCCGCTTCCCTCACCGGGGAGTGTTGCTGGACACGTCTCGTCACTACCTGCCTCTGAGAGCCATCCTGGAAACTCTGGTAGGGCACCTGTGCTGGCAGACAAGGTGGTTTAATTAGATGTCCCTTCCTCTGTGGTAACTGATGGTCCCTTGAGCTGCCTTGTTTGGGTGATTTCTTAGCTCCCTTTGTGAAAGAAGAAAACCCTAAGGCATCTTGAATTCCTGCAAACCAGATTACTTTCCGAGGTTAAGTTGTTCACTTTTGTTCCTGTTCCTTCCCAGGATGTTATGGCTTACAACAAGTTCAATGTGTTTCACTGGCACATTGTGGATGACCCATCCTTCCCCTACGAGAGCTCGACATTCCCAGAGCTCAGCAAGCAGGTAACCCTCCTCAGTCACCACATAGTGCCCAGCCCAGGTGAGCAGGTTCCTGCCTCTGCTCCTGAGCGAGGCACTGAGCTTTCCCATGTTCCCCAGGGAGCCTTCAATGCCATGACCCACGTGTACACAGCCAATGACGTGCAGACCGTGATCGAGTACGCCCGCCTGCGTGGCATCAGGGTCATCGCAGAATTTGACAGTCCTGGGCACACTCTCTCCTGGGGGCCAGGTGAGGAGCAGACCTTGCCTGCTGCTGTTGTGAGGAGAGTTGGAGTTGTTCTGGGGGCAGGAATGGGATTTACAACCTGGATCCTGGAAGCTGGGTGTGGGCAGCAGTGTCGCACAGGCTCGCTGTGGGGAGGAGCAAACCGTTGGCTGGGAGATGTAGGACCCGATGGTCCAACTTCTGGAACAAAATCCAAAGGGAAAACATTTCCATCTCTTCTTGGATCCAAGTTGGGTGACTTTTTTTTGGGAACATCTGCACTGCCAAAACCAACAAAGATCTTGGGTTTAACGGGAGGTACAGCTGACCAAGGTTCCTGGCTCTGCTGCAGCTGTGCTGCAGTCCTAACACTGCTCTTTGCTCCAAGGACTGCAAGTGTCTACTCTCCTGTGTCTGGAAGTGTGAGAAGCTCCAGGAAAATACTCCATTGTCTTTCTCTCCCCTTCCTCTGCCTTCAAATGCCAAGGCCTGTGCTGGAGTTAACCCTGTGCTTGTGATCACAGCTAAAATCGTGGCTGCTACTGTTTCCCTGTCCTTTGCCAGGCCCTGGGCCATGCTGAGGAAGCTCTAGGGTGTTGTAGGGAGTGACATGGCCACACTTGGCCCCTTTCTCATCATCCTGCATTTGTTATCATCCAGGTGCTCCAGGACTCCTGACTCCCTGCTATTCGGGTGAGAAGCTTTCAGGGACCTATGGACCCATCAACCCCATCCTTAACAGCACGTACCAGTTTGTGACCAGTTTGTTCCAAGAGGTCAGCGCTGTATTCCCAGACTTCTATCTCCACCTCGGTGGTGATGAGGTGGATTTCACGTGCTGGTGAGTCTGAGATCAGCCTGGATGGGGACTGGAAGGAAGTATCTGGGATTGGAGTCCAAGCCCATTGCTTTTTGGTCATGATCTTTGGTATCCTGCTCCTCCAGGCCAGGGGCAGTGGAGGTGCTTGGGGTTTCTGTGCTGATGGTGATGCTGGTGTCAGTGCAGCCACAACCCTGGGAATGCCTTGGACTGATGTGGGAAGGACTTGGCCTTACTCCAGAGCTCAGGTTGTGGTGCTTTTATTCTCTTTGGTATACAGGAAATCCAACCCAAAAATTCGTGCTTTCATGAAGGAGATGGGCTTTGGTGAAGACTACAAAAAATTAGAGTCGTTGTACATCCAGAGGTAAGGATGAATGCATCCTGGGCCTGCAGCTCCACTGTGTGACCAGCACAAATGTCTTCTGCTGTCTTGAGGACACCAGATCTCCTTTTCAGGAGCATCTGCATTGGGCATGTCTCCCTGGCCCCAAAGGAAGTATTTTATTGGGAGATTGATGGCAAAAAGCCTGGAGCTGAGGAGGAAGTAGCCCTGTAAGGGGCTGTGTTTTCTCCCTTCTCCTTCAGAAGCACCTTCACATCCTACTGTGGGTGTTGGGAATATCGGTGCTCCTCCTTTGGCTGTATGCAACCAGCAAAGAAAGAGGAGTCTCACTGGGATCACCCCAAACTTGCTACTTTTTCCGCTCCAGGCTTCTGGACATCGTCTCTTCCCTTGGCAAAGGTTATATCGTGTGGCAGGAGGTGTTTGACAACGAAGTGAAGGTGAGAGCTGCCTGCACTGGAACAGTGCCTACACCCCAGCCAGACACACTGGGAGGGCTGTGCTGGGGCTGGTGGTGGGTACTTTGTTACAGGACGGGTTGATCTTGAGATGGTGCTGCCAGTGAGTTGCCCTCTTAGTGACTTTGTCAGACTGTGACCAACACTCTCTTCCCTCCAGGTTCTTGTACATTCACCTGCAAGAGGCAGATTTTAGTCTTACCCAGGACATACTGCAGCTGGTTTTATCCCTCTCTCCATTGTTCTTGCAAACCAGATGGGAAGTGGCTCAAAAGTTGAACCCAAGTCCATCTCAGTTTACCTTGGAGGGGTGTGGATGGATCAGGGCACTCTCCTTGGAGAGGGGCAGGGACGTGATGCTGTTGCCACCTCTTGGAGCGGGGCAGGGACGTGATGCTGTTGCCACCACACTGCTCCCCTCCACAGTGTTCACCTGTGCTCCTCAGGTAAAGCCAGACACCATTATCCACGTGTGGAAGGAGGCTGTGTCGTACATGGATGAGATGGCCAATGCCACCAAGGCTGGTTACCGGGCTCTGCTCTCCGCGCCCTGGTACCTCAACCGCATCTCCTACGGGCAGGACTGGATGGCAGCCTACCAGGTGGAGCCCTTGAACTTCGAAGGTATGTTCCTTCTGTCTCCTTCCTCTATGGCAGCTGGCTTGTCACTTGGAGGTAGCGCCAGGGTTGGCTGTCTTGCTAATCTATTACCTTCCAAGCCCCCTGACCTGAGTGCCATCCCCTCTGGCAGGCACCCCTGAGCAGAAGGCCCGGGTGATCGGTGGTGAGGCCTGCATGTGGGGTGAATATGTGGATGTCACCAACCTGGCCCCCAGGCTCTGGTAAGAGAGGCCATGGAGAGATCACTTGGATCACATGGGACTGGGTTCACTTCCCTTTTCTTTGCTGAACACTGTGGGTTTGGTCTGCACGTGGTGCCTGTCCCTGTCTCCTGCAGCACTTCTGTGCTAGTAACAGCTTTGCTGAGGCTGAAATGAGGGTTTGTAAGACTCTAACATTGCCCCAGCTGCAACCAGTGTGTGTTTAACACCAGTCTGTCCTGGCACCCTGGTCCACCCCAATGCACATGTGTCCAGGAGTGGATCTTTTGATACACAGAAGCCTGTGTGTGCCAAAGGATGCTGGTCAGGAAAGTGTTTGGGAGCTCAGGGCTTCATGTGAGAAGCTTTTGAGCTCTCCCCTGACCTGACTGCCTGTCCCTCATCCTCAAGGCCAAGAGCTGGAGCCGTAGCTGAGAGACTGTGGAGCAACGCAACTGTCAGGGACATGCAAGATGCCTACGCTCGACTGGCAGCGTTCCGCTGCACACTGCTCGGGTAACTGTCCTGGCTGGGGCACAGCATGCCTGCCACCTGCTCTGGGGCCGGCCCTGGGGAGGGCAGTGAGGATGAAGGGCCTTCCCTGCTGCAACACGACCCCTGTTCTTATGAAAAGTCCAGGTTTTTCTGCTGCCTGTGTGTGGGCAGAGCTTGCTTTGTGCAGCGCTGGAAGAGAGCCCCTGCTGCCGGCGTGGGCTGGTGGCTCTGGCGAGGAGAGGGCTTCGTGCTGAGGAAGGAGGGGACCTGTCAGCTCTTACCACCCCTCCTGCAGCACCAGCTTCCCCAGGAAACCTGTCCTCACCCTGTGCTCCCACACATGAGCAAAAATCTGAGTCTGTAAGCACAGGATGAAAATTGCTCCCTCCTTGTCACACCTGAAACAGGGCACCCACGGCCACCCTGAGCTCCTGGAACAACTCAAACCCGGTGGTGGGCTCTGTCTCTGCCCTGTCCCTAATGCCAACTCTCTGCTTTCTTCCCAGACGTGGTGTCCAGGCACAACCTCTCTACATAGGGTACTGTGAAGATGAATTTGGCGGTGTCTGAAGGGAGAGCCCTGCTGCCCTTGGTCACTGCACTCGCAGGAGGAATGATCCCCCCTCTCAAAAGCTGCTGCCTTGACAGAGAGACCCCTTCCCACCCCACCTTCTGCACTGGCTTTGTTGCAATGAACATTTTTTTTTGCCTTAGCATGCACTCTTTGCCTCTTTTTCTATTTTTGTTTCCTTAAATCTATAAATAAATGACCCCGAAGAGGAAAAAGGTGCCTTTTCCTGTTCAGTTGGGGCTTGGGATACGGTGCAAGGGTTATCGTTAGCAGGAGATTGGTTAGGGCTTGCTCCAGAGATGCTGGTGGAGGAGCATCATCCCGGCAGCTCTGGAGCTTGCTGGGTGCCTGCTCAGCTGGATAAAGTGTGCTTAGTCTCTGCTGCTGTCACAGGGTTTGCTTCTGTGGTCACGTTGTGCTGTGGGTTCCTGTCCTTGTCCCTCCTCTCCTCTTGATTGCCAGGCAGAGCATTGGCCTGCTAGCCACCACCTCTGCTGTCCCAACCCTGGTTGCTGCCACCTCCTCTGGCTTCTCCTCAGCAGAAGACATCCTGAAGCCTCTCCAAGGAGCCCTTGCAAACCTGCTGAGTGGTACATGGATATTACAGAATCACTGCTCAGCTCTTCAGGCTGTCACCTCTGCTTGGGATTTGGCCAGCTGACCTGTCCTGTTCCCTTGTCCTTGGGGTGGGGAGCTCAGCTCCAGGTCTCCTCCATCCAGAGGGGTCTGGTTTGGATGGTGTTTTCCTTGGAGAAGAAACCGTTGGTGCTGTTGTCCCATGGAACTGGGACAGCTGTGATTGTTGTCCTTTGATGGTTGGGGCTGCTGTGCTGGAAATGGTGTTCAGCTGAAAGCAGGGAATCCCTTGGGGAGAAATCCTGGCTGGATGGGACTGTTGTACATGTGTGTCAGTTCTACATGGGCAGGATCACCTGTCATGGCTGGAAACTTTATATTATTAAACTTCAAATTAAAAAGAGTGAATTAATGGTTATTACTGTCTCCTGTCTTTAAAAGATGAGGATTTTTTCCCCTTATTTTTTCCTCACTGTGGTGTAAAGCTGTACCTTGGCCAGGTGCTTTTTGTCACTGCAGGGAGCTGCTGCCAGCTAGGCTGGGGGCAAGGCAGAGACTGGTCCTGGGAAGGATGCTGGTCTTTCAAGGATGATGCTGTGTTCCCAAGGAGGGTGTTCTGCTCCCCAGGTGCTGCTCTGTCTGTGCAGGGAGGCTCTTCACCACCCTATCCCAGCTCCCTGCCCTCATTCCCCTCGTCCTCAGGCTTTCCGTGCTCCCTATTCCCCACAGCCAGGTGTGAGAACCCCCAGGGTCTGGCATGCTCCATGGGAAACCCCCAGCCCATCACCTTCCACTAAAG